CAGGGCATCATAACCATGGGCCGCAATGAATTCCATTTGAATGTAACCAAAGTTAGAAAAAAGATAATAATGTCTTTATCTCTACTGTGGATGGAAAAGAAATTTCTATTTATTGAAGAAATAGAATTATAATAATAGCCAATACATATGGGCTATCTTATAAACATCATCTCATTTGACCCTCACAATAGCCCTAAGAGGAGAATTGTACTGTTATTACTATATTCATTTTACAGATGAGGAAATTGCAGCCCATACAGGTTTATTGACTTGCTCAAGGTCACACCTACTAAGTGATAGATGGTGTTCTGGCTCCTAGGCTAATGTAGATTCTGCTATTCCAGAATGCCTCTAAGAAACTATGGGGAACAATACAGATGTAGCTATTTATTTATTTATGCATCAGAAAGCAATGCAATTAAGATGAATAGAAAAAATCACAAATTGGGAAACATTTTATTTTATTATAGATAAAAACTTGGCCTTTAAAATATACAAAGGAATCATATAATTCAAGAAAACATTCATAATGGCTAAATGCTTAAAGGATATGAACCATAATTTTTTGAAAGGGGAAAAACAAATTTCAAGTACCTAGTTGAAAAACTGTTCAATCTCCATAATAATCCAAGAAATGTAAATGATAATGAATAACTCTGAAGTATGACCTCATACTCACAAAATAGGCCTAAGTTAGAATAAAAAATGTCAGAGCTGGGAGGGGCCTTAGAACAAGGCATCTTGGAGTTGGGAGGGGGCTTAGAACAGAATGTCAGAGTATGTCAGAGCTGGGAAGGACTGTAGAACAGAAACTATCAGAATAGGGAGGGCTCTTAAGACAAAAGATGTCAGATTTAGGAGAAGCCTTAGAACATGGAATGTAAGATCTGCAAGGGGCCTTAGAACAGAGAATGCCAGCTGGGATGGCTCTTAGAGATTATATAGTCTGATCTTCTCATATTATAGAAGCAACTAATGCCTAGACAGAAGAGACAGTTTGCCTTGGGTGAAACAGGCAGCAGAGCAGAAAAGCATGGATTTTATACCTACCAAGTGCCAGCAGGCCCTGTGCTAACTACTGGGGACAGTGACAGCCCATGCCCTTAAGAAGCTTCTTGGGGGAAGACAATACAAAAGAGAGAGCTGAAAGGTCAGGGGTTAAGTAGAGGCCACATATCCTCACTGGGGCTTGGTGGCAAAGTCCAGACAGTTTAGGGGAATCAGCAAAGTTGGGGGTGAAGAAGGCCTAGAATCTAGGTCTCCTGATACCCAATCCAGTGCCCAGTGCAAGGACCAAGCATTCCCTCTGGTTCCCGTTTCCACATGCTTCCCCTCCCTCTGTCTTAGGTCACTGCAAGAAAGACCCAAATCCTCATTAATCATAGGGATGTGACAGGCACCCTCTTCTACCCCCACCCCCAGGAATCCAGTTTTTACATTCTATTCCTTTTCATGCACTGTTTTCCTCAGGTCCTCCTGCCTAGTCCTCACCACCCCCTCATAGATGAATGGGAATTGAGTCACAGACTGTGGCCAGGAAGAGAAGCTGGAAACATTCAGCCGAGCTAGTTAGCACATAAAAACCAAATCTAACACATTGGATTTCCCATGCAATCAGCACTCCTCCCGACAGAGGTAGAGGACAAGGGGCTTGGTGGGTGAGCTCTCTGCTCTGTCCTGGCTTCTTTTATGGGAACCCAAGGTCACAGGGGTTATTTGGAGGAAAGGGAGAATATTTACTCATTAATTCATTCATCTAATGCTTTTGATTATTCAATAACTTCATTTATTCATGATTTCTCCATTTTTTTCCTTCCCTTCCTCCATACCTGCTCACTACTGAACAGTGATTTCATTGAGAAAGGAAGGTCCTATATAGGCCTAGAGGTCTATAGTAACAGTCACTAGGATCTGGATTGGGTGATAAATTTAGATAACATGAAATGTCAGTGGAGGAAATATGGTTTAGTGAAAGTGATTGAGGGGGGGAAGCAATGGTGGGGGTGGGGGGAAGGAGTAGTCTGACTTTCGAGTCAGTGGTGGTATGAGACAAAGTGTAGCCAGTACTACAGAAGATGCCAAGGGAAGCAGGGTCATCGGAGAGATCCATACCTCCATGTTGTCTAGAAGACTGAAGGAATAAGAAAGAAAGATTAAAGCAAGTTTGTTAATTATGCAACATGCATTCCAGAGGCCACAGTGGAGATAGTGAGTACTTTTAGAGTGGGATATTGGGAAGGCAGTAGGAGTGTAGCAGATAAACCTGAGGGAAAATTAAGTCTTCGATGGCGAAATGGTGTTTATATATTAGTCCCTAGGGGTTCAGGATCACTGGGATGGGAAAGAATGTGGATCCCTTGAGATACAATATGAGAAAGGACTGTCCAAAAGTTGGATAGGCTTCCTTGGGAAGTAATAGGTGTCCCTGAACTTTGTTGAACCTTTGTTGAAAATAAATTTCTTATTTTTTTTTGCTGTCCTGAAGTAGGCAAACATCAGAAACAAACATGAATATTTACATATACAATGAAGAACAGAAAATAAACACGCACAAAGCCATGATTTTCCATTATGTATAGTTTGTTTTGGCATTGTTGTTCAGTCGTGTCTGACCCTTTTTGACCCTATTTGGGGTCTTCTTGGCAGAGATACTGGGGTGGTTTTCCCTTTTCTTTTCTAGCTCATTTTACAGATGAGAAACTGAGTCAAACAAGGCCAAGAGACTTGCATGCATCTAGTAAGTGTTGGAGGCTGGATTTGAACTCATAGAGATGAATCTTCCTGGCTTCAGGCCTGGTACTCTATCCACTGCATTACTAGCGGCCCTTTCTTCGGCATGAGGGGCTTCCGAGCAGCAGATGAATGGTCACTGGGCGTCAAAGTCATAGAGGGGATGCCGGGTTTGGCACAAGTCGGACCTGGTGGACTTTGAGATCCCTTCCAGATCTGAACTTCCAATTCTTTGAGCTAGTACAGCCTGTAGTATAATACACCATTCACATTTCTACTGAATAATATGTTAGTTAACAATGCACGTGGTTTGAGACAGCATGGAATCATTGAAAGCAAAATTTACCAATTCAGACTTGCCCTGTCTCTTCTCCTCATTCAATTCTGGGGCCTTTCAAAATATATTTACTGATGGACCAATCTATGGGCTAGCTGCCCCTCCACTTGAACTGCATTATCTAGTCAATCCACTTGGTTTTTATATGTAGCTTGTGGCACTGAATTCTTTTGAGTGGCCATAGATTTCCTTTAGGAGGCTCTGAAGCATTCTGAGTCTCAACAAAATCAGTGCAGTGTTACCTGCAAAACAGGACTTTCCGATCTATAGGGAATCCCTCCTCCATTTGGACTTGGAACAGAACATCCTCTATTTCAGAATAAACATTTTTACAAGCTGATGTCTTCAAGCTCAATGTTTTATTCACTAAAGCCCCTCTCACTTCTTACATTCTCTGTTCTAGGAAACTTCTCAGCACTGACACTCTATGTTCTAAGGTTCCTCCTAATTCTGACATTCCCTGTTCTAAGCTCCTTTCCAGGTCACTCATTTTCTGTTTTAAAGCCCCTTCCAACTCTGACATTCTCAACACCACACCCCCATTCCCTGTCTTAAGATCCTTCCAAGCTCTTACATTCCCCATTTTAATGTCCCTCCCAGCCCTGACATTCCTGTTCCAAGTCCATCTCAAGTCTTAATTTCTATTGGGAGAGTCTCTCCCAATTATGACATTCCACAGTATAAGGTCCATTTTATCCGTGACACTCCATGTACTAAGTGCCCTCTCAGTTCTGGCAGTGTGGGTTCTAAGGGCCCTCAACCAAACACTTTCTACTTTTTAGGGCACTTCCCAGGCCTGACATCCTGCACCTATTATTGTTGCTGTTGTTATCATAATGCATTGTCTAAAATTAGGGAAAGTCTCTCTTGCTAGACTGAAAGCTCCAGGAAGTGTGACCACATCTCTTTTATAATCTTATTTTCACAGCACAAAGCTCTGAACACAACAGGGACAATATCAGTGTTTATCGAATGGGATGCACTTGACCTCTGGTCCTTATCCAGGAGAGAAAGAGAAGGCTGATGGGACGGCTTGAATCACCTGTGGCAGCTAAGAGCATCTATGGCACCTGCGTGACTTTGGGCCAGCCCCTTTCCACTCTCGGGGCCTCAGTGTCTTTATGGGATTGGACTAGGTGATATCTAAGGTTCCATCCAGCTCTAATTCCTGCAATCCTGGGATCCAGAAGAGGGTGGCAGGTGCAGGGTTAAGGGAAGGCGGGGCTCGGGGATAGGGTGGTTCCGAGGACTGGGGCGGAGGAGGAGAGGAGGAGCCACGGGTGCATTACGTCACCTTCTCCTGAGCCCTGGTGCTGCGGGTGCAGGCTCCTCTCCGGGGCGCGGTGCTGTGTGTGTGTGTTTCTGAGTGTGTGTCTGTGTGTGTGAGCGTCGTGGGGGAAGAACCCAGCCAGCCTGGAGAGCCTTCCTTGGTCCTCCGCCCCCGCATCTCTAGAGGCGGGGCCTCTGGACGAAGAACTCAGTCCCTCTGCGTGTCTGTCCGTCTGTCCTCTGGAGCATCCAGACTTCGCTGGGGGAGGAAGCACGGGGGAGGGAGGGAGGGAGGGAGGGGGCCTGGGGACCAGCTGAGCATCCAGTCAGGGTTCCAACCAGCCGCAGGAGGCGGCGGCACGAGGAAAACCTGGGGCCGGAGACCCAGGACCAAGGACAGCGGCTTCCTCTGGCTCAGTGCAGCATCCTTCCCTTCATCCATCTGCAGGAGGCAGCGGCTGTGCCCCAGGGAGAGAGGACCAGGGGCCAGATTCGAAGGACCAAGGACAGCAACACTCTCTGGCCCAGCTCAGCTTCCTTCCTTCTATCCATCGCAGCTGGAGGAGAGAGGCGAATCAGGAGTTAAGGGCCAGGGGCCAAGGCCAGCAATATCGCTCCAGCTGAAGCTGCGGGAGGGGCGGCGGCGGCGAGGTAGGGGGGCAGGATGGCAGAGAGCGAAGCGGAGACCCCGAGCACCCCGGGCGAGTTCGAGAGCAAATACTTTGAGCACCATGGGGTCCGGCTGCCGCCGTTCTGCAGGGGGAAGATGGAGGAGATTGCCAATTTCCCAGTGAGGGATAGCGACGTCTGGATCGTGACCTACCCCAAGTCAGGTGGGAGCTTCACTCCTTCCCTCATCCACCCTCTGTGGGGTCATCTCTGTCCAGAAGGGTCCCCTTCCCCTACTCCTTTCCCCAGCTCCTCTCCCACATCTTCCTTCTTCGGACAGGGCGGGTGGGGCTGTGGGAGGACTTGGCTAGACCCAGCCTGGGGTGGGGCCAGAGGGGGATGGGGGGAGGGGGAAGGTTTGGGAGCTTGGTTTGGGGTGGGGAAGGGCAGCAGGTGGGGAGAAGCTTGACTCCCGGCTCTTGGAGAAGTAGGGTCATGGATTTAGAATAGAAAAGAATCTTACAGACCATCTAGTTCAACTCCTTGTTTTGCAAGGATATTGGAGGTACTGAGTTCCAGAGAAGGTAAGGGGTTGGCCTAAGGTCACAGAGGAACTAAGGGCCTGAGCCAGGATTTGAACCTATGTCTTTTGACCCCAAAACCTAGGTTCTTCCCGTGGCCAGGCTGTTTCTGGGAAGGAGTGGGGTGGTGTGTGTGTGTGTGTGTGTGTGTGTGTCTGTGTGTCTGTGTGTATAAAATTGAGGGGGGGAGACATACATTTAACAGGTGCCTGTCTCTACCCAAGACACCAGCAGGCCCTGGGCTTTCTTGCACTTTAGGTCAGGTCTTCCAAAAGCACAAATGCAGCCTGATATGCACAGGGTTGGGTAGGTGCTCCAAATGCTGTGCAACAAAATCTCACTTTAAAATGATGGGACTGAATCACACCATCTTGCAGGTCCCTTTCCAACGGCAACATTATGTGAGTGCTAGGCTGGAAGTCAGAAGATCTAGGGTTTAGTCATTCTTCTGATGTTAACTAGCTGTGTGACTTTGGGTGAGTCACTGCTCTTCTCTGGGCCCATTTATCCACCTGAGAAATTAGTGTGTTGGACCAGATGACCTCTAATGTCTCTTCCATTTCTAACATTTTATTAGTGGAAAGATCCCCAGATCCACTGGTAAGTTAAAAATTAGTTGGAATTTATTGGTATGCCTACCGTGGTTCAGAATCTCAAAGTCTTGTGTCAATTAAAGTCACCTGGGTAGGAGAGGCCAGGACTCTCTTCAATTGGTGCCTTCCTGAGATTTGCTAAGAATGAAGTATGATGCCCTCAGCCCTTTTCAGAGTCAAGGGGCCTAGTTCCATCCCTGATTTTACTGTGTGACCTTGGGCAAGTCACTTCAGCTCTGTTTCTACTTCACTTCCAACCAGACTGGAGAGGGGAGAGCTGCTTGTTTGTAAACAGCTATGGGAGTCTTCTGAGGAACTGGTCTAGTTAGAAATATGGTAGAATTATCCATCTTCATCAGCCACTGTATTTCAAGTGCTTACTGTGTGAGTTGTATTCTGGTGAATAGAAGAAAAAAAAACAAGAGAGAGGAATAATGGGAAAGGACTTGGGTTCTAGGCTGAGTTCTGTCACTAATTAGCTACATGACACCAGGATCTCAGTTTCTCTTTCTGTAAAATAAGGGGAATTGATTCTATGCTATCTAATGTCTCATCCAGACCACATGATTCTATGAAGTATAAGATCTGGTTTCTGCCCTTGAGGGGCTTATAATGTAGTTGGGGGAAAAGGACATAGAGCATGAGAATAAGAGAGCTGGAAAAGGATCCTGGGAGACCATGAGGGCTGCCTCTTCTACCCTGAGGTGGGTTAAAGGCAACATTATGCCAGGAAGTGCTCTATGACTTCCCCTCCAACATTACCTGGCACTGGGTTTACCCCTGTCCAATGTACTGATGTGGACAGGAAGTGGATTAGAGTTGTTGGGTGGGAGATCTATCTTCCTACTAGACTATGAGCTTCACCAAGTGTACAGAACTTAGATCCTCTAAACTGTAACTTCCCCAGCCTCTACAACTGTAGGGCTCTACACACAGTAGGTGCTTAGTGCTGATTTCCAGAATGAATAGTCCAGGGATGCCTCAGAGCGATTATGTTGGACTCTTTGCTCCTGCCCTAAATTGCTTCAGACAATGCTAATTTTGAAGCATTTTTTGGTCTTTTTTTAAAAAAAAAGTTTCTTCTTGATGATTGCCAAGGACCAAGACTCCATGTCCTTCCTGCAGAGCAGGTCTTGAGCATGCACAATTCATCTGGTGGTTCTATAATGGGGCTCCACATAAGTCTCATGCTTTCTTCAGATGAGTGGATTAAAAAAAAAAAAGCTATTGGTTTTTTTTCCTCGCAAGTCTTCACCACCTTCTGAGAAAGTTAAATGTACTTAGGGGGTCACAAAGATTTGGGCATTTTGAATGTCAACTTCTTTTGATTCTTCAGTGTTTCTGTGATTTCATCCATGTGGGCTCTTCCTTCTCTGATACAGATCACCCCTATCCAAGCCTGCTAGTGTTGTATCTTGGTGATGTCCTCTGGAAAATCCTATAGAGGGGGAGAGGAAAGGTCATCCAATGGGCTGGGGAAAGCTCTTCCTCTAGTTTTAACCTTATTTTGGTCATGGACTCTTTGGGAGAAATTTCTTAGGACAATGTTTTTAAATAATTGAAGAGAATGCTCAATTTCAGTTAGAGCTTAGTGAAAATAAAGATGTCATTTTTTTCCCACCTAAGTTCAGGAATCCCTGAAATGGACTGATTTCTTCTTTTTTATTTTATATATTTTTATTAATTTCATTAAATACTTCCCAATTATGGTAAAATTTTAAAAAATAATCCTTTAAAAATTTTTCAGTTCCAAATTCTCTCCCTCCATTCAATCGTCCCTCTTCCTTGGGAAGGCAAGCAATTTGATATTGATTATACATGTGAAGCTGTGCAAAACATATTTTCATGTTAGCCATGTTGCAAAAAAATCACAGACAAAAATAAAAATAAAGTTTAAAAAAGAATAAAAACAAAACAACAAAAAAGTTTTAAAAATAATAAAATAAAAAAATAATCTGCATTCAGTTCTCATCAGCTCTGGATAGCATTTATCATCATGGGGCCTTTGGAGTTATCTTGGGTCATTGTCCTGATGAGAGTAGCTGTTTTTCAGAGTTGATCATCCCTACAGCATTGTTGTGACTGTACAAAGTTCTGGTTCTGATCACTTACTTTTTGTTTTCGTTTTATTTAAACTTTTTTTTGGGGGGTGAGGCAATTGGGGTTAAGTGACTTGCCCAGGGTCACACAGCTAGTAAGTGTCAAGTGTCTGAGGCTGGATTTGAATTCAGGTCCTCTTGACTCCAAGGCTGGAGCTCTATCCACTGTGCCACCTACCTGCCCTTACTTTTTGTTTTTGTTGTTTAGTCATGTTCGACTCTTCATGACTCCATTTGGAGTTTTCTTGGCAAAAACACTGGAGTGGTTTGCCATTTCCTTCTCCAGTTCATTTTACAGGTGAGGAAACTGAGGCCAACAGGGTTAAGTAACTTGCCCAGGGTCACATAGCTAGTTAGTGTCTGAGGCCAGATTTGAACTCAGGTCTTCCTGAATCCAGCCCCATGCACTATCCACTGTTCTACCTAGTAACCCTCTCACTTACTTTGCATGAGTTCATATAAGTTTTCCCAGGTTTTTCTGAGAATCCTGTTTATAATTTCTTATCACAATAATATACCACAACTTGTTCAGCCATTACCCAATTGATGAGCATCCCTTCCATTTCCAGTTCTTTGCTACCACAAAAAGAGTTACTATCAATATATTTATACATATGGACTCCCCCCTCCTTTTTAAAAATCTTTTTCTAATGCAGACCTAGTACTGGTATTTCCAGGTAAACAGTATACACGATTTTCTAGCTCTCTGGGTATAGTTCCATATTGTTCTCCAGAATGGCTGGACTAGTTCACAACTCCACCAACAATGCATTAGTGTCCCTGCTTTTCCACATCTCCTCCAACATTTGTCATCTTCCTTTTCTGTCATATTAGCCGTTCTGATAGGTGTGAGGTGGTACCTCAGAGTTGTTTTAATTTGCATTTCTCTAATCAATAATGACTTAGAGCATTTTTCATATGATTCTATAGCTTTGATTTTTTTGTCTGAAAACTGCCTGTTTATATCCTCTGAGCCAGTTGGGGAATGGCTCTTCTTCTTCTTCTTCTCATTTTTACAATTGGCTCAGTTCCCTATATATTTGAGAAATGAGACCTTTATCAGAGAAATTTGCAGTAAAAATCCCTCCCCCTAGTTTCCTATTTTCCTTCTAATTTTGGCTGCATTAGTTTTGTTTGTACAAACGCCTTTTAATTTCATATAATCAAAATCATCTATTTTATTTTCTGTGACCCTCTATCTCTTGTTTGGTCATAAACTGTTTCTTATCAATAGATTTGAAACGTACATTTCCCCATGCTTCCCTAATTTACTTTATGTCTAAATTATTTATCCATCCTGACCTTATCTTGGCATGAGATGTGACTGACTCCCTGTTAAGAAACTCTGCTCTACCTAGGGTTAGGAGATTGGCTGTCACGGTTGCCATCAATGTGCCTGCCTCTCCTAGCATGGCCCTTTTTCTTGCCTCTCTCTTGCCTCTTCTGCCTGATATATTCTGATTTGCTGCTTATAATCTGTTGTGAGCCGGACAACTGAGAGCACCAAACTTGTTCAAACAATGCGTAAAATGAGAATAAATTACACCATGAAGGTTTCTCCTTTGATTATGATATATACACTTTAGTCAGTGGACTTGGTGGCGATGAGTTTCCAACTCCGCTGTCCCTGAGCTTCCCTGATCCCAAGCTAGAAGCCATTGACTTCCTTCTCTCCATTTTCAGAACACTTGGTTCTTCTGGAACTTATTCTACCTAGTTTTATAGTTCTGTCCCTCACCATACAGTCAACTCCTTGTGGGCAGGGGTCATGTTTAACCCTGTGACCTGCTGCCAGAAAAACCAAGTGTCCCTCTCTTCATCCAAGCTGGAATCTTTCATGGACTTCAGTTCATATAGTGAGCCAGAGGTGGGGGTGTCCTGGTAAATAATTTAACAACTGGCTGAAAAGCATGACACACTTTTCAGTTTAATCAGCATTAATAATATCTCC